ACCGTCAAAAACAGCTCTTTTCAGAGCAAGCCGTTTTGTAGCATTTTCGTTTAAATGTTACTGAGCTCTGCTGACCCCGCCCCTCTCTTCCGAGCCAGCTCTCTGAGGGACTGTTTACTTTAGCCGCATTCATCGTTAAACTTGCTAATTAGCACATTATTAGTGAAGGCGATTTTCAAAGATTCATTAAAAAACCTTACTCACTTCTTCTGTAGGTGAAACTGGATCACGAATGATTCGCGCGAACATAGACGCATTAATGTAGATCGGGGGGTGCATTCCCTTCAAAAACAAATGTAATCCACTGCGTCTTCAGCGGCTCAGATGTCGGGAGTAAATGACAACTGCTATGTGCATGTAGCATCCTATGACCCCTTTAATATGTGCTTTATACTGTAAGTACTAACAAACAGGCAATATGCTATAATATGCATGCTAGTTAATAATGAGAATTGGTCCTTAAAATAAAATGTTACCAAAATGAATTACTGCAATAATTTAGTAAAACATACCTAATAATTCTTGTAACAAATACATGGGATTTCTGCTTCTAATGCTAAAAAAAAAAAAAAAAAATCAGAGATCATGGAAAGTGCCTGATATTGACAAATCTCAAGCATTTGATTTATAGAGGAACATTCAAATATCACAAAGATTGTATTTTCCATGAAATTGGTAACATTTAATTGTTAGTATTCTCATAAAAGAGTTCAGTGTCTCACAACTTCATGAAAACCCAGCTTCAGCTTTTAGTTATGCAGGAAAATGACCTTCAGAACCTTTTTCATAAGTCTCAGCCATTTACCAAATACATAATCGAATCCATATCATCAGACATCATGACAATAATACCTTTTTTTTCATTTACCTACAGGGAACAAATAATTGCTACAAATAAGACCGATATTTGACTGATTTGGACATTAAGAGAGAGATTATCTTAAAGGAAATGAGAGGCATCTCCATGACAAGGTTACTTCAGAGGTGTCCAATTGAAAGCATGGATGATAAGATTACTCTTAAAGTCAAATCTCCCCAGAAGACACTTTTGATTGACTGATCCTCAGCCAGACTCATAACCAAACATAATCCTGTTTTACTCAAACCACATTCTGAACTACACCCGAAGACTCAAGTCAACACCCAAAACCTATTAGTGTAGTAATTTTACCCTAAATATATTATGATACTACAACAATCTTGATATTGATGCCTCTGCATTCATTTTTACACACAGGGATTCTGTATAAACAGGTGAAAATCTCAATTAGCTAAAAACACAATAAAATTAAAAACACTTAAGCGCACATGAGCAAAATTCATCAAAATGCAAGACTTTTTATGCTGTCACTTATAAAAGTATGTGTTGCATATAAAATTATCTGATAGTGATGGAAAACATGCCATAACACTACCAAAATCCATTTTAGCATTAAATAAAATAGACAGTTCTATACAGAAGCAGTAGTGAATTCGGTACAGTTGTAATGTTTCATATCTGGATGATCTATTTATACAAAAACAAATTATACTTTATTCAATGCATAAAAATTGTTATTAAAACACAAAGAACCAAAGAATAAAAAATCAGGGATTAGAACAGATTTATTTTGTTATGAACTTTATAGATGCCTTTATTAAAAGCCTGTACAGAGGAGTGAAAATCTGCAGTGAAACGCTTTAGATTGTCAGGACATCATGTGCTGTATCTATACTGCCCTCTACTGTTACAGTCGAAACTGCTTTTATCCTTCTGATAATGCTCCTTCACTCGGTCACCAAACACTGAGAAATATGAGAATGATTCAAATAGTCTATATAAATAAATTAATAAATATAATACACTGTATACATATAAAAGATGGAGTGAAATGCACCCATACAGTAGTCATTTAATCAGTCTGCAGTCCAGGAATATCAATGTAAATGTTTTCACTGCAAATAAGACCACCGATTATGTATTACAGACTGCACATGCTTTGCTTTCCATGCATTTCTTACTGTTATACTAAACATGTAATGTTACTGAGCCAAGAAATTTATTTTTACGAAAAGGAACTGAAATGTAATTTCATCTTTAGGTACAAATAATACAACAATAACATATAACAACGATAAAAAAAAAGTGAATTTTTTTAAATGTTCAGAGGTCGTTTAGTTTTTGTGTAACAAGTCAACAAATGCACAAGCCAAAACAGATTTACCCAATTTATACAAAACAATTCTAGCACAGATTCACAGATTTTCATTTCAGTGACTGCTTTGGCACGATACTTCACGTTAATAAACGGATGGATTTAATACTGGATTCTTACAAGCCCATTTCAAACAGACACACGTGGCAATTTAATAACAGCGATTTCAAGTTCCAAAGCAAATTGCTCTTGATTGATCTAGTCTCTAAGCTCAGGTGAGGTTCTCATGCTGCTCTTCAGACTCTGGTTTCTTGCAGAACATCGTGGAGAGTTCCTGTAACAGCAGTTCCTGTTGGGGGCTGCATGATCTGTGGGACCTGTATCTACCTGGGACGTGCAGGGAGTCCTCCTGGCCCAGAGTGTCTGTTGATTCTCCAGAGGATAAGAGAGAGTGCACTGGGTTTAACCCAACCATGCGATCCAGGGAGGCGGCCTTCCTCTGTCCGAGGCTGACGGGCCGTGCTGGCACCTCCTGTGTCTCTGCGTGAGCGCTGGACAGGAAACTAGTTTCCAAAGATTTGAGCACCTGCAGACCGAAGTCGCCCACCTCCTCATACAAAGGCTCGGGGCTTTCAATGCGCTCCTCAAACGAGTCCTGCTGCACCTTCATGGGCTGAGAAGGAAAACGAAAAAGACAATTGCAAAGCATACCAGGTCAAAAAGATATCTGTTGTGGATTTCAGATTACAACACTTAATTACACGGGCTTTAAAGTCTTTAAACCAATAACACATGACAGGCCATCCATTACAGTCACTTCACCACAGTTATGAAATAGTTTTGAAAAACAAAAAGTCTGAATTTAAATTAAAACAACATTAATATTATAAGAGAACCTAATATTCAATAAATAATGATCTAGTGATAATAATCATATTAGCCTTTTATCACAAATAATGTAATTTGAACCTTGATAATAATAATAATAAATAAATAAATAATAATACAAAAAATTATTATTATTATTATATGATAACTATATTGTGCTATAATGTTAATAATAAGAAGAATAGTAATAATAGTTGTAGTATACAGTAATAATTATTATTATTGTTGTTGTTTTATGACATTAAATTTTTATGCAACTATATATAACAAGAATAATATAGTGAATATACTTTTATATGAATCTTATAATATTACACACACTTTTATTATTATGATTATGATGATTATTATTATTATTATTATTATTTTGTTGTTGTTGTATGACACTTATGTATTAATAACTATATAGTGAATAAGCAGCAACAACAATAATTTTAAATAATACCATAACTATATTGTCTTTATTATTATTATTATTAAATAATTAATTAATTTAGTTTTAATTATCTTAATTCATTATTAACTATAAATGAGTCATAATTATAGTGAATATAGTATTATGAGAACCTTATAATAATAATAATAATAATAATTGTATATACTACTAATACTATGTTATGTGTTTATTATTGTTGTTGTTGTAGTATGGCATTATAAAAAATTTGCTATAATAAAATAGTGAATAATAATGCTATTTCATTTCATTTTAAATTACATAAAAAATAAATAATAACAATAAATGTTATAAATATTGTGTTAAATAAATAAATCTCCTATTTCACAACAGCGTTGAATGTATAGCTCAACCAATCAGAGCAACCTATAATGCTATGTGTTTATAAAAAGCAAGTAAGCTTATGAGCTTGTATCCTTGCGTATCCAAAGCAAATCAGTCTCCTGAACTAAGATCATAAAAACTACATCTCATCCATACGGGTGTTAGGTTTCGAACAAACTAGTGACTATCATCTCATGAAAATACCTAATCTACTAGATATCTGATTAGATGATCTACCATTATGCTAACAAAAGAAGTATTTGTGGTTAGCGGAAGGGATTCGCTCCTCAACAATGTTCAAAACAAATTACTTCCTTTTCTGAGTTGAAACTTTTGTGTCAGTATCAGAGCAACAACATCAAGAGAATTGGTGAATACATCGAGGACAAAAGCATGAAGCCCACAGACAATTTGCTTGCGAAAGCTTTTGGGCCGGGACACACCAGAAGCTGCGGCTTTTTCCCAAAACACAAGAGGTGAAGCCAGCTCCATGCCCTCCCTCAAGGCTACAGTTGCAGAACAATGCAGTAGAAGCCTTCTTCCTCCAAATGCATCCTGTCATATCAGGAAACCCTGGTTCCCAACAGGAATGGGGGGAAGGACCGAGGAAGTCAAAGGGAATTCCTCCATTAAGTATAGGCTCTTTTGTAAAGCACACCCTTACATTTTTGAGCGTTTGTTAGACCCAGAGGTCATCTGATACTTTCCAAACCTCCTACTTTTACATTTTGACCAGCCACTGTAATCAGAGTAATTGTGACTGGTTGTGTTGAAGAAATGGCAACAAAACTTGTATGCAAAGGTGTGAAACTGAACATTAAGTTGGGTAATAGCTCACCCAAAAAAATGTGTTGAAAATGTACTCAGCCTCAGGCCATCCAAGATGTAGATGAGTTTGTTTCTTCATCAGAACGGATCTGGAGAAATGTAGCATCACATCACTTGCTCACCGACGGATCCTCTGCAGTGAATGGGTGCCGTCAGAATGAGAGTCCAAACAGCTGATAAAAACACCACAATAATCCACAAGTAATCCACACCACTCCAGTCCATCAGTTAATGTCTTCTAATAAACAAATCCATAAATAAAGTTTTTTAACATCGAACCATCACTTCTGTCCAAAATACCAGTCCATAATCCATAATAACGCTTCATCCAGTGAAAAAGTCCATCCCCTGTTGTCCTCTCACATCAAAATCCACCTAAATATTTGTATAGATCTGTTTTGGCATGCTTTCATTAATAAATGGTGCTTGATCTGTGCATATTTCCCGCCTGATTCAGACAAGACAACGTTTTCATTGGAGAACGCAATATTATGGATATAAGACTAGTAATGATATGAAGTTAAAAATGTTATTACAAACACGCAGCTTTTCCCTTCAAAATATGTTAATTGATTGACTGGAGTGGTGTGGATTATTGTGATGTTTTTATCAGCTGTTTGGACTCTCATTCTGATGGCACCCATTCACTGCAGAGGATCCATTGGTGAGCAAGTGATGTAATGCTACATTTCTCCAAATCTGTTCTGATGGGGGGGAGGGGGCTTGAAGTATTGACTCGGAGAGGAGGGGGGCCTTGGAGTAAAAAAGCTTGAGAACCACTGTTTTAAAGTAATTCTTATATAAAATGCATTGGATTAATCTGCAGCTAAAAAGAAATACTTACAAAGAACATTGAGAGAGCCCTTCTTGTGTGGAGCTTTCTCTGCAAAAATACACAGACAACAAGTTAAATCTCAAAGCAAAGACCAAGTGAGCATTACATGCACTGAACCACTAGAGGACGCCATAGTGTTGTACCAGAGTCTGATTGGCGGAGAGCATGGTGGAGTTGGTATTGCTCTCCTCTCCTCTGATGGGCACAAGCGGCATGGTGCCAAACTTCTGCTTGGAAATGTCAGAGGAAGAGTGCCGTCTCATCACAGGTGGACGCAAATCATCATTCTGAGGGAGGGACGTTAATGTTAAGCTACAGCTCTGAAATGTCAATAAATTTGTTCAATTTAAAACATGCTGTACCTGTGCTTTTAGTAAATTAGTCATCCAGTCCCATAGTTCAGTCTCACAGGAACAGCTGAGGTACCTGTGCAGTCAAAGAGAGTGATTACTGTTCACTATGTAGCTATAAATAGACACTTTCTATAAAGCTTGTATAAAGCATTGTAAAGAAATGTAAAATGCTTTTAAATGTATTCATACTCATGTCCTATAATACGCATTACTGTCGCATAATTATTTACTTTTTCAAGGTACCTTTAAAGAGTGTAATGCATAATAACACTCACATATAACATGTTATAAGAAACTGACATGTATATATACATACATATAAAGGGGTAATAAATATATATATTGGGGCTGCAAGATTTTGTTTTAGAAAAGTCTCTTATGAAGTCTCTTAATTTCTGTTCTATTCCATGTACACATATAAATATAACACATATAAATACCACTTACAATTGCTGTTTATCCAGCATCACTGTTAATCCCCATCTGCAAGTAAACACACTTGTTATTTTAAGTTATATCAAGTTCACTGATGTAAAGAAGCTTACTGTGGAACGTGCATCTCACTTTGTTGGTGGTTTTAACTTCTTTCTGATCCCCATGTAAATCTTCAAGGTTTTCAGTTGCCACTCTTTCTCAGGTTTGTTGCTCTGTGATGCAGAAAAGCTGCTTTTAGTTTTTCCTTTCAGTTCAGTGTCGTCTTATTTACACAGAATCCTCTAACGTGCTGTAATGTAGAAGGTGATGATGAACAGTATACATACTTTTTTGTCCTTCAGGAGTAATCTGTGGTCTTTAATTTGGAAAGATCGCTCCTGGAATTTGTTTCCTTGCAAGAGCTTGGGCGGCTCTTCCCGACACTTCAGCACTCCAGACTTCACTATCTCACTCTTATAGGCTGCAGCCCACAACACACAGATACAACAGACACAAGGTCAACAAGCAACAACTGCAGCTGTATCATTTTGTACAATTTTGTAATAAAGTATACAGTTTTTGTTTTGCGTGTGACAAAAATGGTTTTAGAGTTGTATAGTAATAGATGTGTAGTAATAAATCAATGTGACACTGTATGTTTTTTCTCATTCTTGTATACTCTACTGTTCACAAGTTTGGAGTTTTGTTTTTTTTTTGTACAAATTAACAGAAGGTGATGGTAAAGACATTTAAAATGTTTCAAATAAATGCTGTTCTTTTGAATTATTCATCAAATAATCCTGAGGGGAAAAAAATCCTGTTTTCAACATTGATAATCAAATGTTTCTTGAGCAGCAAATCAGTGTATTAGAATGATTTCTGGAGGAAGACTGGATTAATGATGCTGAAAATTCAGCTTTGATCACACGAATAAATTACATTTTAAAATACATTCAAATAGAAAAAAATTGTTTAAAAAAAATTCATAATATTTCACAATATTACTGTATTTTTGAACTTGAGCATAAAACATCCTTCTTTAAAAAACAAACACAAAAATCTAACTTTTGAACAGTACTGTAATTTTATGCATTTTATCACCTCAGGTTAGTGCAGAGTAGGGTTGTGACGGTGAGTACATTTTCCCACCGGTTAATCGACGTGAGACAACACCGGTAATACCGGTATCACCGTGGGGTGGGGGCATTCCCTCTTTTCTGGCTTTCCTTCGCTATTAAATAGTTTGTAAAAGCGGCGTGTGCATTTTACTTTCACTTTCAAATAGCGGCAATTCGGCGTAAAGCAATTTGCAGTGTCTGAGTAACTTCAGTAGTAACTGAAGTGAAATTGTGTTTGAATTAATTCGTTTGCGTTTTGTCTTTACCAAGCTCTCCTTCCTCGATGGCCTCAAAGGTCATCCACACGTCTTTTTCCCCTGCAGGAATATTTCTCATATACAGCACCTGATTGGTCAGCTCCTCAGCACACATTGTGGGAGACACCTGTGAGAAAGCCACACCAGAAGTTTGCATTAATGGTCTGAATCTGCCACCGTGTGGTAATGCTGTGCAACAGCAGCTCTCCGTCAAACATAAAAACGTGAAATACAGTTGGAGTTGTGTTTTTTTTTTCCACAATATTATTTCATGTATGTTAGCTTTGAGGCCATCTAAATGCTTGTGTACTAAAGGTTGACAAAAACATTAAGCAGATATACACACTTAAAATATATTGCTTTCCCCTTCCAGGACAACGGACAACAATATTGTTGACATCATATATATCTCATTATTATCATTTTTAAATATGATCTACTTACTTTCAGAGTGACGCAGCAGTCTGGTATCTTTTCTTCTAGATAAACTTCAATAATCAAGTCCCCTGCCTGTGAGAGCTGCAATAAACACAAAAAAAATATTAAAATATAATTTAAAATATAATACTATTAATTAATTAATCTACCTGTGTGTCTCTCCAAGTGGTTATCAAACTGATTTCCAGTTCAATCTGAGTTTGATGTTCTTCATCAATCTGATCAAACACAAAAATGTTTCAAAAGCATCAAAATGATTCACATTTACATAAAACTGCATTCCACGAAAAACTATACAATGGTACTCCCATGTTTTTTGTATTTTTTGTACCATTGTAGTATCATAGTATTCAATGATTTGCATGGTATTCAGAATGAAATAAGTTGCATAGTACATGGTATCTCCAAGTACTGTACTATCGTATCATCACCTGATATTATAACTTCACCACGGTGCCACCTCAGCACGGTTTTTGCTCTAATATCATGTTACGAAGTTATTCACTTACATCAAATATATACAGGAAGTTATCGATGAGGTCTTCTATGATTTTGACCTCATGTTCCCCTTTCCCATCAGTCTGAAACAGGCTGGGAGCGAACAGCAGGGACAGGTTCTTAGTGCACATCTGATTGAGATCAGCACACTTCTGCACCCTAAGAGAGAGGAAGACAAAGCCATGTGAGAGCTGCTATAAATGAACAAAGACCAGACTTGGCTGAATCAGAATCAGAATGAAGACTCACCTGTAGAGATGACTGATGAGAGCTGCTAAAGTCGTTCTGTTGACCCGAGGTAACCCTCGAATCAGCTCTTTGTATCGGTCCAAACGCTGTGGCTTTTGAGGTATCTCTGCATATAGTATGAGAAATCACTGAGACAACTCAAACTAGCCAAACTCCAGTATGTTTGTTGTCAGTTAAAGCATCCTTGCTAAATAAAAGTATTCATTTCTATAATTTCTTTCCCAGAAAAAATTATACTGACTTTTTGAATGGAATAGTGTATAATGTAACAAAAGCTTTTTATTTCAGATAAATGCTGATCTTTGGATCTTTCTATTCATCAAAGAATCCTGAAAAAAAACGGTTTTAAATATTGATGATGATAATAATAATAATAATAATAAATGTTTCTTGAACAGCAAATCAGCATATTATAATGGTTTCTGAAGGATCATGTGAGACTGAAGACTAGAGTAGTGATGATGAAAATTTAGCTTTACCGTCACAGGAATAAATTACATTTTAAAATATATTCATACAGAAAACAGTTATTTTAAATTCTTATAATATGAATGTATTATAATTTACATGCCGTAAGCATGCCACAGATGCATCTAATAGACATTATGCAGGAAATAACCCACAATATTTCATTAAACTGCATATAAACATTCAAAGAAAGTGTACTGTACTAACTGGCAGCTTCCCTCCAGAAGGGGTGGAGATCAGCCATGAATATGGGATCATCAATCTCCCGAAAGAACCTTTTCAGTACATCGGTCACGTCCTCTATGAAGTTATCTCCAATGCGGAGTTTCACATTGCGGGCGTCCTTACGAAACTCCTCCATCAAAAGCTTGATTCTGGACTTCGCACCGTTTTTCCTGTATATCCCCTCATGGCCCAGACCTGTGTAAGAGAGATTCAATCATTCGGACTGCAGTGGTAATGTTATAGATTTAGGCAGGGCGGACTGTCTTCAGTACAAAGCACAGGGATTTGAGAAGTCTGTGTTCTCACCATACTGAGTTATAAAGGCAATGCAGCTGTCAATGATGATGGGGATGTCATTTCTGCTGAGCTGCTGGTCTTTCAGGGTGTTCCCTTTCCCTCCTGCTGCCTTCTGAATGTCTGTGTACCACAGGGAGAAATCGGTCCTGCCCATGCCCTGCAGATACAGAGTCCTGCAGACAGAGTCATTATATTTTGATGAAAGATTAATGGGACTGGATTAATGGATGCAATCGTTTGCAATAAGGACTGGGAGATGTATTTAAGAAATAGTTCACCCAAAAATGAATATTTGCTGAAAATGTATTCACCCCCAGGCCAAGACATAGATGTTAGTTTCTTCTTCTGAGAAATGTAGCATTCCATCACTTGCTCACCAATGGATCCTCTGCAGTGAATGGGTGCCATCAGAATGAGAGTCCAAACAGCTCATAAAAACATCACAATAATCCACACCACTCCAGTCCATCAGTTAATGTCTTGAGTAGTGAAAAGCTGCATGTTTGTAAGAAACAAATCCATTATTAAGGTGTTTTAACTTTACACTGTTACTTCTGGTCAAAATATGAGTCCATAATAATGCTTCATTCCAGTGAAAAAGTCCATCCCCTGTTGTCCTCTCGCATCAAAATGCACTGCCATATTTGTTTAGAATTGTTTTAGACCGTTTTCACTTGTAAATGGTGCTTCATCTGTGCATATTTCTCTCCTGATTCAGAGGACACAACTTTTTCAGTGTAGAAAAAATTACCATGGATAGAGGACTCATATTTTAGCGAAACAACAGTTTGAAGTTAAAAACATCTTGATGGATTTGTTTCATACAAACATGCAGCTTTTCACTTCACAAGATGTTAACTGATGGACTGGAGTGGTGTGGATTACTTGTGATGTTTTTATCAGCTGTTTGGACTCTCATTCTGACGGCACCCATTCACTGCAGAGGATCCATTGGTGAGCAATTGATGTAATGCTACATTTCTCCAAATCTGTTCTGATGAAGAAACAAACTCATCTACATCTTGAATGGCCTGAGGTTGAGTCCATATTTAGCTCATTTAAATGTTTGGGTGAACTATTCCTTTAAGTAGAGTTTTAATTTTGGCTTAAACATGTGCATTTATAGAAGTCAAAGACCCACCTTCCTTTCTCAACAAGAACCAGGATGTCCTTCTTCTCATGGTTCTCTGTTTCGGATGCAATGCCTTGATTTTTAACCCAAGACAAAGACTGGTAAGTACATAGCTCATTTATTAATCCTGAGGGTAAATTTAGCAGCACTATTTTCACTGAAATATCAGTTTCACAGTGATTGAGCTAACAGACTCACTGAGCTCCTGAAGGCGTTTCAGGTTTATAATATCCTCTGCGGCTCCATCATTTCCAGGGCATATGAACAGGTTGGACTTCTGCAGAACAAAGAAGCCTTCTTTCCACTGCTGCGGGTCTAGCATGGCCTTGTAGCGCAGTACGCCCACTCGCTCGAACTCTCGCGCCAGCAGGCAGTGACAGCTGAGAGGGGTGGTGGACTGCCAGAGATTAAAACCGAGGTGAGATCTAATGCACTGATGTGACAAGCTACATAGAGCAGAGCTTGACTGATTAATATTTACCTTCCCTATTGCTCGTGCCCAACTGTGCAATGCATCTGAAGTCTCCAAGCCAAACTGGATCAGTTTATCAGATGTTAGGTAAAGTTCAAAAGTGTATCGAAATCTGAAAGGAACAACAAAGAATCATATTGTTATAATGTAAGGATTAAGATACTATGACATCTCTAAATCTGATTATGTCCTGAAGGATGTTGTGTTATGCAGTGGCACCCACTTGTCAATAAAGCCGCTGTTGTTGCTGGAGTCTGGCCTGCTAACTCCTAAACAGATGATGTCTTTAACATCGATCTTCAGACTGGGCTCATGACATCTGTCGGACTCATAGAAGAGAATAGACTTCTCCACCGAACACCAGTACTTTTGAAAATCTGCTGAATAAATAAAATCAAAAAGGTAATAAAAAAAAACAATTATTTTTTTCTGTATGTGTCATATCAGATGTCAAATATAAAGTCCAAGACCACTGATGTTTTGAAGTGAGTAGTAATCAGATGGTCATCATGATTTACACTCGTTTTAAAGTACCATTTTAAAGTGTTCCTCTGCGCACCAAGGCTGCATTTACTTGATAAATATACAGTAAAAATAGTAATATTACAGTAAAAATAGTAATATAGTGAAATGTTATTACAATTTAAAATAACTACTTTGTATTTAAATTTATTCCTGTGATGCAGTTGAATTTTCAGCGTCATTACTCCAGTCGTCAGTGTCACATGATCCTTCAGAAATCATTCTAATATGCTGATTTACTGCTCAAGAAACATTTATTATTATCAATGTTGAAAACAGTTTTGCTGCTTAATATTTTTGTGGAAACCATAATACATTTTTCAGGATTATTTGATGAATATAAAGTCTAAAGGACAGCATTTATGTGAAATAGAAATATTTCGTAACATTATAAAAGTTTTTACTGTCACCTTTGATAAACTGAATGCATCTTTGTTTAATTAAATATTAATTTTGTTGAAAAAAATCTTACTGAGCCCAAACTTTTGATGCAATCATTTTAACTTTGTAATGATTTTTTTTTTTTTTCATTTAATCCTATTTTATTTAATACTTACACAATCAGATGAGCAGTGCTGGGGAAAGTAACTGTGTTACTTTTTAAGGAAAGTAATGTAATGTATTATGTTACTTTTGCATTACTTTTTGTCACCTGGGCTGGGCTTGGATATTTGTTTTTCATTTTTAAGTTTAATTTTAAGCAACCGTAAAGGCCCTTTTACACCAAAAGTGAAATAAATAAGCCTCAGACTGAAAGAAGTGTCTCTGCACCTCACTCCTAATTTCTCTCAACATGGGGACAGGAGAAATGTCAGTGAATAAATGGGAAAACAAGTAAGTTGTTAATTTAATTTATTTGATTTTATTTAAAAGTAATGCATTACTTTACTAGTTACTTGAAAAAAAGTAATCTGATTACGTAACTTGTGTTATTTGTAATGCATTACCCCCAACATTGATGATGAGTATGAAGTAGTTAGATGGTACTGAATAGCTTTGTTTTTACTGAAGAGGTACAGCCTGCTTGTTTATGGCACATAGTCGCCTACCGTCTCTGGTTCTGCGGGATAATGTCCCTTTGTTCAAGGAGCTTGACTTGTAGAGGTAGCCGGAGTACAGGATGGGCTGCATGATCTCATCATAGACACAGGAATCTGAATCCAGAAAATTACAGTGAGATACTGCACACCTATTGTATTTCACTTTGACATATATTACAATTTCCATATGCTAAAAGTGAAGTATGCAATTTTATTAATGTTACAGTATAGAGAATCAAAGAATGTAGCAAAGCATACATTCAAAAAACATTACTCACCATGTTCAAGATGGAGAATTTTAAGAGAACTGTGATTTAGTTTATCTTTTTCCAGTTCTGACTAGGTGACTATTAAATTGCAAACTTCACCTTTAAGAAACATGGCTGTAGTGAAGTACTGGAACGGTACCTGCAGACTGTGTGTATGAGTAATGCGGGGACACGCGCTTATCGTTTTCATTAGCGTCAGCGAGTCGAGCGGCCTCAGCCTCCGCAAAAATCTGAGTGACCGTTTTTAGCAGGTTCTGCTCAGTCACAGCGGTGCACAGCGCCTGCAGGGTGACCACACACACACACACACAAACGTATGCACACTTCAACAAATGCACCGCTAATAGCATATTTAGCCAGCGGACATTCAAAGATTCTTCTAAAAATCCCTCTATTCTTTGCAGTCCTTTTATTAGTGCTCTTCTTTATTTACAATTCACAACACAGACATCGGCTAATTCGGGGGTTCATAGGTAGCCTGGATACACAAATGATAGCCTTGGTAAAGTTCTGAGAACGAATACTACATCCTAATCTTGGCTTGACCGCTGGCATAATACTTAGATGGCTCTAGCTATATTAAGACAGGATGTCCTCACTGCCCCAGTGGTGACTTATCTAAAAGTTTTCTTTTGAAGCAAAGCTATTACACGGAGAAATGTCTGCTGCAATAGTTCACTGCGGTTCTTATTTGAGGAAGTATTCAGGGTATTTCAAAATTAAGTGTGTTGCAGAAGAGGAAAGGGAAATGCATTTATTGTGCAAAAGTGTTGAAGTTATGTGGCTCTGAAGACAACCGTGTAAAATATTCATTGTTAAATGCAAAAGGCCTATATACATCTGCACAAGGTTTACACAAACGCTTCAGTCAGGGCTAACTGATAACAGCAATATAAGGTTTCCATTTCGTTGAACAATAAATTCCCTTGATTTTCCATGGTCTTTCTTACAGTTCATGATTACTGAGCATTACTAAGAATAATGTATATTTACCATAGATATTTCCATGACTTAAAGGTTTTAAATTCACTAAAAAAAATAATAATAATAATGATAATAATAATAATAATTATTATTATTATTATTACTATTTTATTGTGTATCTAAAAACTAAACAATAACAATAATAGTAGAATTACAATAATAAAAGTAATTATTATTATTATTATTATTATTAACTTATTTTATTGTGCATTTAAAAACAAGAAATACTAATAGTATTATGATTACTGTTGATGTAGTAAATTAGTAGTAGTAGAATTAATATTATAAATGTTTTACATTATTATCATTATTATTATTATTAACTGTATTTATTATTTATAATAAATTTTTTTGTGTATTTAAAAACAAAATAACAATAGTAGTAGTAATAACAGCAATAGCAGCAGTAGTATTAATATTAATAATACTAATATTATTATTATTAACAACATATATACTTATATAACGTACTATATTCACTTAATTTAACTACATTTTTATTATTATTATTATTATTAACTAATATAATGATTATTTAATGTGTTTTACATATTATTATTTTACTACACCAAGGGCAGATTAAATTGTTGGTGGACCAAACATAATTTAAGCTAATTTCCATACATTTTCCAGGCCAGAAAACTCAATTTTAAAATTCCCTGATATTCTGGGGTTTTTTTAACTATGAGGTTAAAAATAAACGCTGTGAAATTTTAAATAAAATCTGACGTTAAAGATGCCATGATCAACACTCCTGACAGTACTTTTAAGACTATAAATAATCTTAAATAATTCATGAATAATCTTAATCTTAATGACTGGTAAACAAGTCACCATTGGTTTGCATGATCTCTCCTCTGTAGGTGTGAATGGCTTAACCTTTACCTTAAGAAGTTCCTCTTGGGTGCTAAAATTGGGATGAGGGTGGCGATATCTGCCTTCTCTGTATTTGTGGGTGATAAACTCTCTCCGCTGCTCTGGGGAGGCGTCACAGTCCAGCTCCTCGTTCACAGGAAGTCTGGCCGCCCAAAATTCATTGGCTCTATCATTGCCAAGCATTATGAAGAGCTAGAACACACAGAGATAAGAAAAACCTTGTGGTAAAATCACTGGGGATATCAGGAATCCAGATAATTGGAATAAAAAAGATCTTTTCAGAAAAAGACCTGTAAAAAAAAAAACTCAGAACCCATGGCAACCCTCTACCTGAACGATCTCATTGCTCCACACGCTGGTGTCTAGTTTCAGACTCTGCACTTTCGACACCATTGTGCCGAGACCTCGATGCTGGCCTGCAGGCAGACAGAACAAAAGAAGCACCACATTACTCTCCACGCACCATTCCTTCTGTTTGTCCCACAAAGACTTCCTGATACGGTGCCTCTGAGCCACTTTTATCTGTAGTATATGGCACAGAGGACCTCACATGAACTCTCAAATGAGCTTAGAAACTCTTAGAACCATCTGTATCAACCTTAACACCGCACTGCCCTTCCCCATGCCAGTTAGTCACTGTTTGGAAAAGGCAAAACATCTCACACCAACTGTTTTGATGAATATATAGCTTAAATCAGCAGAATTCACAAGTTTACATGATAAAAGTCATCTAGCTGATAAGTCACTGCCACACACCTGCGCAGTTCTTGCAGATGACCACACAGAGATTGATGGATGCCCAGTCCGAATTGATGGCTTTGCAGTCTGCGCAGATCTTGTTGGACCTGTTGGACCAGATCTTCTCCGCCACCTCATAATCAGATAGTGTCTCCGCTATAGATTCTTGCAGGGCCTCCATCCAGTCCCTCTTCTCTCGCTCCGACTCTGCCGTAAAGCTGCAAGGATGCATACAACCATCTTAATGCTCTGCCAGCATGGATCCGATTAATTGTCTCTAGTCTCTAGAGACTATCTCTTTATTTCAATAAAGTCTATGTATGTGTGTGTGTATTACAAAATATATACGCGTTCAAAAGTTTGGGGTCTGTAAGATTTTTTTTTTTTTTAAATAAAATACTTTTCTTCAGCAAGGACATATTAAATTGATCAAAAGTGACTGTAAAGACATTTATAATGTTACAAGATTTCTATTTTGAATAAATGCTGTTCTTTTGAACTTTCTGTTCATCAAAGAATGCTGATAAAATTGCCCTAGTGAAAAAAATTGTATACTACAAATACATTTACATATTTATGGGCTTAATAAAAATGCCCTGCAACTGAACTTTTAGTATACTAAACTGGTAAACTTAAATTCTGCTAAATTGGAACAACTAATTTTGTGCTTAATGCACTTTAATTGTGCGGAAGTAGTGCTGAGGTCCAACTAAAGATATAGTTAAGTATGTTTGATTGTGTTAAAGTGAAGCCATTGCAAGTATACTTCAGGTACACTTTAAATATCTTGTATTTAAAGACTGATATTATACAGAGATCATACAATCTTTATTTAGAGGATATTAAAACACAGTTTAGGCATAATATTAAGAAATATGCATTGTGCAATAAATAAATAAAGTTATTATAATTTTATATCACCAAGTTTTAAGTGATATGTCAATAAATATGTTAATGGATTTGAAGTATACTTAGTATGTAAGATATGTATTTTAAATCAATTATAGCATAGGTTTTTTTTTACTAGTGAGTATCAGGATTGCCACAAAAATATTAAGCTGCACATCAGTTTTCAAAATTGATAATAATAATAAGAAATGTTTCTTTAGCATCAGTAACAGCTACAGAAAATGTAGCTTAGCCATCACAGGAATGAATTAAATATTAAAATACAAAGCAGTCATTTTTGGAATTATTTCACAATATTACTGTTTTACTCTATTTTCGATCAATTAAATAGGTATTTCAAAAAAATCTTACTGACCCCAATTTTTTGTTTTGAAAGGTAGCATAATTAAAATATTATTTTAAAATATAGAAATATATTAAATATTATTATGTATTATATATTTTTAAAGATAAAACATTTTTAATTTCATGTTTTTTTCAATCAGCATATTGGTCTTGTTTTCCAGTAAAAACATCTAAATATCCTTAAAACAATTTATTGAATTAAAATGGTGTATGATAACAGGACTTGTTTTTAAAGAATATGCCTTATTGGCCAATTGATTTTTCTTGTTTCGATTCCAAGCAAAAAGACAAATCACTGATTAAACCACGTATTTGGAGATTTGGAAATGACTTAAAAGGGTAGACATGTACAAGCTACTTAACAGAAGCATAGCGTGACTTGAACTGTTTACCTGAAGGTTTTATAAGGTGTAATGAGATCAAAGCTCTTGCCCTTCCCATCACGAATTGTTGCACCTCTGGCCTCAATTACAGTAATTCCAATTCCATTTTTAAAGCACTGCAGAACACATATCACAAAGGGTCAGCCTTAAACCAAGAATTACTAGTAAAACCTCCATGACGCAAATGATTTAAGGCTAATTTTGAATGAATTGCACATATGTTATAGGAAGTTCAAAATACTTCAGTATCGACAGGAAGTTCAAAAAACTCAAATTGCATCACACTGAGAGATGAAAGAGGCAAAGCAAATCATTGGCACTAAATCTAGAGTAGTATGGCTATAACGTGATTAACTAATCACCTGCTCACTCTTGTACAACCAGATCTGCTCCATTATAATGGCTGTGTAGATCTTTGACTTGGTTTTGAGCTCCAGGAAGCCGCTCTTTTGGCAGTGACTGCCGGGGCCAAAACGTGGGCGGCCGAAAACCAGCTGTTCTTTGACCCGCTCCTGCAGCGTGCTGCACCATTTGCACCTCTGAACTATGAAAAGAAATAAAGCAGGATCAATTGGTTTCTTTTGACCTAGTAAAATTTTAAATAAGAAGTAAAACACTTTTCTAAACAATATTTTGTAATATTGTGCCGTAATATGTGACCCTGGAGCACAAAACCAGTCATAAGTCGCTGGGGTATATTTGTAGCAATAGCCAAAAATACATTGTATGGGTCAAAATTAACGATTTTTCTTTTATGCCAAAAATCATTCTGATATTAAGTAAAGATCATGTTCCATAAAGATATTTTGTAAATTTCCTACCGTAAATATATCAAAACTTCATTTTTGATTAGTAATATGCATTGCTAAGAACTTAATTCGGACAACTTTAAAGGTGATTTTCTCAGTATTTAGATTTTTTTTGCACCCTCAGATATTCAAAAGCTTATTTATTCAGCTTTCAGATGATGTATAAATCTCAATTTCGAAAAATTTACACTTAAGACTGGCTTTGTGGTCCAGGGTCACATATATGTTTTTAGATGGCAGGTTATGTCAATACTATATCATTTGCCAACATATTGAGATTTTTGGTCATGGGTTTGGATTCCAAGGGAATGCATGAAGTTATAACCTGAATGCAACGTAAAGCCGCTTTGGATAAAAATGCTGTGCTTACCATCATTATCAGCTCGGAAGACAAATGTCCTGTGACTTGTGACGACCTCAAATTTATTGTCTTTGGCTACGCGGGCCATCTGTATGGCAGCTAAGGGAATCACACCTTTGGGATAGGCATCCTGGGAGAAAGAGACCATTTGTGTTAGGAATAACAGTGTACAAGCATATGTGACTTCAGAAACACAAGGGAATGTGGGAATTGTTTAGATTCTGAAGGGCTTCGGGCAGGCTGAAGTGATTAAAGGGGTCATATATCATGATGAATCGGTTGATTGTGCTATGAAAACATGCTGCACTGTAACTTTGGGAGCACAAAACATCCTGCCCAGCCCAAAAAGACCATTTATTGTAAACCTGACATGACTATATAGTGTAACATAACATTTCCCAGATCAGCTGTGCTGAAAGGTTCAACACACACACATGCATTTGGTTGTCGATCAGCACCATCTATTGTTCTGGCAATTTGCTTTTCATTCAGCTCAATGAATATTGGTTTCACTCTTCCATTCATCAACGATTCATTAAGATTTCTTGTATCGTGTCTGGTGTGACAGCGCCTTTACACGTCAACAGCATCTATTCAGTGTTGTTCACCTGTTTAACACACTATTCAATGTTGATAATATGGCAGGGGCTGATAAAAATTACATTTGACAGTAAACCTTTGCTCACACACATACAAAGATGGGATTTATGTCCAAGCAGTTCAGAGAGAGGGTGAAAAAACTACACTGGCATTCAAATGTTTGGGGTCAACAAGAAATTAATACTTTTATTAAACAAAGACACATTACACTGATCAAAAGTGACAGTAAAACATTTAACTTGTTATAAAAGATTTCCATTTTAAATAAATGCTGTTCTTTTGGACTTTTCATAAAAGACTCCATCACAGTTTCCACAAAAATATTAAGAAACGCAACTGCATTATTGATAATATTATGCAGTAAATTATCACACAGGAATAAATTACATTTTAAAATACATTCAAATGGAAAACAGCTATTTTAAATTGGAACAATATTTCACAATGTTGCTGTTTATCCTGTATTTTTGATTAAATAAATGCAGCCTAGGTGAGCATAAGAGAATTCGGTCAAAATCATACTGACCCCAAACTTTTGAACAGCATTGTACATTATGACTGTTAAAGTGCAAAAAATAAATTAATGATACGAAATGAGTGATAGATGTATGATAATCATAAAACATTAGGATGGCACTGAGTTGTTGACATGCAATCATACCTTTTCACTACCATAGTACATCAAGTTCTTCCCATCAAACTTCACATATCGTTTCTGGAACACATAGTTTCTATAACAGAGGAACAAAGATGACATCGGAGAGAAACAACTACACTACAAAGGTCACATCCAATATAGTGCTGTCTGAAATTATTCAAGGAGGAAATGAATCTATAGACACTGGAAGACGTCAAGCAGAGGACAGGAACAAACAGCAGGAGACACAACATGTGAAGTAATGACAAACCGGCCGGAGAGGACAGACAGGGAGCAGAAACAGCCATTGAGGAGCGTGCAGGAGACGCAGAGATGAGAGGAGAGCAGCAGCCCCGACGGGGCGTACCCTTGAGGAGAGAGCTTGTCCAGCCAGTCGCTGAGGATGGGTGCCGCCCGCTCGGACAGCGAGGTGAAGCTGGCGTAGGGAGAGATGATGTGGTCCTCGTCCGCTTCAATGGAGCCGAGGTTATGAGGGAGGGAGAACGAGTGAGAGGCCGGAGACGGTTCACCCACAGTGCAGTAGCCTGGAGAATCAAGACACTTGAGCCACGAGTGATTGTGCTGCCTGTGAGAAGACGAAGTTAAAAATATAAACTGGACAGTAATATTACTACATGAAAAAAAATCGGTTTCATGTTCCAGTAAAATGATGGAAATATCCTGAAAATAAGCAAAATAATAAAAAGCAAAAATGCATTTTTCAGTACATTTATTAAAGGAATAGTTCACCCCAAAATTTTTATCCCTCATGTCGCTTTTGGGTAAACTATCCCTTTAAGCATAAATAAAAATTTAGTGAGATTTATGCTAAAAGCATGGCAAAATTGTCAGTGGTCAAAAAAATGTATAATATAATATAATATAATATAATATAATATAATATAATATAATAAAGCTAAATATAATATAATATAATATAATATAATATAATATAATATAATATAATATATCAACCTAAACACATTCAAACATAAATAAATTCCACCTACTGGAGAACATAAAGTGAGAAAAAAATGGTTTAAGAGAGAATTTTTACTTAAGTATCTAACCTCTGAATGCTGATATTGTCGTCTGCTGTGGAAAACAGTTTCACAGTACGGGTTGATCATTTCAACTTCATCCTCAGCAGATGCTGTGTCGCCTGAACAGAAAATAGCAGCATTACATAAATTCAGAAGATAAAATAAATGATTAAAATGCTAAAAATCCAACTCAAGTCCTCTTTAGCCATATGACAGCATAGTGTGTAAAGCACATTAAAGCCACTGTTTAATGAAAATCTTCCTATCCAGCATAGCTCTCAAATCATAACATAAAAAGTGCCTGGTAAAGTGCCACAGTAGATTTCATTAGAGACCATCTCTAGCCCTGAGCAGGGTGGACTTGGAGGTGAACCGAGCATGTTAGTGAAGTGAGAGCACTGATAACTCGAGGGGGAGTCAGGAAGGGTGCTCAGACACTCCTGGTCCGACATTTTCCTGAATGTGGATGGGGGAATTCCTCGATTTAACCTAGGGGGCACTGGGGCTAACAGATCACTAGTCTCTGGGGCCGAAGTGGTATTACTCAAACCTGATTCGCAAGGGCCCTTTTTCGATTCAGTAGGTGTTTCAACAGTGTCTGTACTGGAGGATGAACCTTCTGCAACTTTTAAAAGCGGGTCCTGAGATGACTTTTGGTGAGGTTGCACTTCATGTTGTGTTGGTAAAGAAATTATCTCTGCTCTTAATCTGTGGAAGACAGTTCTTGGTTTTGGTACCGGCTTTACGACACTGGCGCTCCGCTCTGAGAACGAGCGCTTCACTTGTGCACAAAGATTCGGGGCCGAGCTGTTACGTAAGGCTTCTAAGGCAGTGCTAGGGTGTCTTGAAGGAGAATGAGGCTCCGCTTTCACAGGGGTCACCTCGTGAATAGCAGAATCTGAATTACAGCGATCTAGCAAGGGCTCTTTCCTTTGATGTTGACAGATCAGCTGAATGTGCTCGATCAGTTTGAGGATACGCTTCCTGTGGCCGGTGGCAGTGACTCCCACCCTGTTCAGAGCCACATTGTCCACATGACAGAAGTCTCGGGCAAGGAGAAAGCCTGCCTGACGGAAGTGGTCCAGATACCTCTCGAGGTGGATGGAAGCCAACAGGTCCTCTGCATCTGAGCATGGACCGATTGTTGTTGCCATAGTGTGCATGGGTGCTCATTAAGCTGCATGCAAAACAGCAGCAATTCCAGCCAAGAGCAGAAGACGACACCAGTCCTTCATCTGAGAAAACAAGCAAAGAAAATAGGCTTCATTGCAAAGAAAAGACCTCTTTAAATGGATAGTTCACAAAATAAAAATTCTGTCATTTACATCAAATAGTTGATGGCAGCCATTGACTTCCATAGTATTTTTTTTTCAATACTATGGAAGTCAATGGCTACCATTTTTACTATCACTAATCCACCAATATTTTGATCTACAATGAACAATGAACACTCACCAGAAATTGCTGAAATACAAAAGGTTAATGTGGACTTCCATAACCCACAACTGTATTGCAAAAATATCATGAAAATGTCCCTGATACTCGCTTAAGATATCATACATTTAAAGGTATGCTTCCATATGAGAGTATGAAAAAATTAAATCTTTGGAAATATGTGAAAGAAATGACAGAAAAGATCCTTGATGTTAATATTCCATTGTGATGTTTACTTTTTTTTTGGTTTCATTTATACCATAAGGGGATTGATTTAAAAAAAGAAGAAAATGTATATATGTATATATATTTATAAACATATAGCCTATCCTGCAAATAAAACAGTTTATTACTTTACACTGAAAATATATTTGAGCATATATTGTAACAAATATTTCAATGTAAAAGAAAACACATTCTTAAAACATGGTGGTGTTAGTGAAGTGCTAACAGAAAACTAAGAACAGAGGTGGTAATGAATATTAATGTAAGGTACGGAGATGCTTTGTGTGTGTGTGTGTGTGTTTTGTTTTCTTGTTCCTGTTCTTTGTTATATGCAAATACTTGTGTACATGTGCACAGTTAAAATGTAATTAAAATAATGGAGAAGGAATAATAAAGATTACAGTAGATTTGTACATAATAAAAATAATAAACAACAATAATTTGTCTAAAGTCTTGCTCTTTGGTTTTTTTTGCATATTTATTTTGTGTTCATCCTGGTGATCGTGTTATACGTTGTTGGAATTTCCCTGTTTTGCGTTGTACAATTAGCAATAAAAAAAACAATATATTATTATATAACAATAATATTATTCATATTATTTTCATTATGCATTTTAATAAAAATACAATAATACAATTATTATACTAAAATTGTGCCTAAATGCAAAGACAACCAGTAATTTAAATCTTACAAAAGAACTAATGTCCACCTTTGTAAGTTTGACAAACAAAAGACACGGCTGATAGTTGCAGGGAGGTTAATGGTCTTTTATGACAGAGAGCATTTTTCATCCGCCTGAGACTGAATCACCCTGACATTTGCAGACGATGGCATGACCCTGCTCATAGACTCTTAAAACCACTGCACTGGAACAAAACAGTCATTGAGCGAATAAAAACAAATCTTTGTACCATCTAAAAAATTAGCATTCAGGGTGAACACAAATGGGAATATTACAGTATCGCAAACCATGATAAGCTGTAACACGGCACACATGCAAGCAATAACAATGCGGTCATATTTCTTAGGACTATTTTTTGAAGCCTCCATTCATTGAGGGAAAGCTGTTGAAAATGTGGTGCACATGAGGGAACCAGTCGAGAAAAAAAGACTCCACTAGGGTGGGCCTGGGAGAAAATCCACGTGGGTGGGGCAAAGCTTGTTTGGCGGGGATGGCATAACTTTGGGAGCGACCAAGTGCGAATGCTTTTTTATAAACATTCCTGACACTTTCCTGACTGCGTGTCCAAAAGACTGACAGCACTTGAGAACAGTGGCCTAAGAGGAATCTCAAGGAACACTTATACGAGTGGCATACAGCCAAACCCAGGAACAGAGAGCTGCTAGATTCCATGACCTCCAGGGGGGGCGGAGCCTGACGGGTGGGAGTGATGATTGGATAAACACTCATCACAGGGTGTACATCTCCAACCCACAAAGGATGCACAGTGTTCTCTCTCAAGGACATCTCAAATTGGAGGTAATTACGAGCACGCTTTCTATTTGCGGCAGAGATCACAATCGCTCCACTGCAATTACGAAAAACGATAAAAAGTCAAAAATGTGTTAAAAAGCCACGATAATGTCAACATGGTCTATTTTGCTCAACAACACTGAGTCTGAGTAGAAAAGCAGACGTTGGAAGGCTGTTAAAAAAGGCTGATGAGTCATATCCTCATCTTCCTTTGTCTGGACTCTGGATGCTAACCTTTGGCTCGGCCACTCTGATTCACTGGATCCCACGGTGAGGGGGGAGGCAGGAAGCTTGTGAGGCGGACTGATAAAGTGTGACCTGAGGAAAGGAGAGAAACGGGTCTGGGTGTTGTCTTTTTCCCCTAGCAGCAATGTAGAAAAACTCCCTTCAGCAAGACTGTCATCGTGAAGCCAAACAAGCCAACCAGTGGCAAAACATCTGCAATTAATTCAGCCTGAAGCCATTAATATACAGATTCCTTTCAGATTTGTTCTGTAGATAATATCTGCCTGTTTTTGTTTTTTGTAAATTGTAAATTTTTACATAACTTACATTAAAGTTTGAAAATTTCTTATTGACTTGTTCAGAATTCAAAATGTCACTGGTAGTGAGGATGTCAGTGTAAAATTTGCTGACTGTATTGCAACTGGTCTTCTCCCTTACATCTGTTTGCATACCAAATTATGATTGGTCTTTTCTTCTTTGCATCCACTTTCCACAGCAAAGTGATGGCTGTGTGTTGATTCGTGTTTAAACGTGTATTGTGGAGTGTCATGAAAATGACAAAGTGGCTCTGACATGGCTTTTCTATTGTTGAAAAGTTTTTTCTTTGAAAGAAATTAATTATTTTTTTCAGGAAATGATGGATGAAACTGATCAAAGGTGGCAGTAAAGACATTTATGATGTTACAAAATAATTGTATTTCGAATAAATCCTGTCCTTTTGTATTTTCTTTTAAGAGTCCTAAAAAAGGTATCACGGCTTCTGCAAAAATATTAAGCAGGACAATTGTTTCAACAATGACAAAAATGAGAAATGTTTCTTGAGCAGTAAATCAGCATATTAGAATGATTCTTGAAGGATCACGTGACACTGAAGACTGGAGTAATGATGCTGCTAAAAATTCAGCTTTGCATCACAGGAATAAATTACATCTTAAAATATATTAAATCAGAAAATAGCCATTTTAAATTGTAATAATATTTCACATTATTACAGATTTTACTCTATTTTTGTTCAATAAATGCAGCCTCTGTGAGCAAAAGAGACTGCACAAAAAATTCTTGCCGACCCCAACATTTTGAATAGTACTGTTCCCAGAATCAAAGCTTAAAAGCTTACACTTTTTGCTTTCTTCCTCACAATCAGTGGCATTTCCTTCATCTAGTTATGGATTTGCTTCACCAAACTGACTGTAAGTACAATTTCTTTACACCTTAACAAAATAGCTATGTTCATGGATTTTTCAGTGACATCACACAGCCACATTACCACATTTACATCACATTTTATCAGGCTGACCTGCAGACTCCCAATGTTTGTTTCAGTTTGCAACCACATGTACTACAGTTATAGTTTTGTGCTTAAGACAGGGAATATTTTGTACAGAAAAAGGAAACCACGAAAGATCAAAACCACAATTTCTCAATTTTACAGCACACAGTGCATTAGATTTGCAACTGATTTGCCACCCAACAACAGACAGCACAGCAAACCACCATCTGTTTATTTGTATTACTATTAATATTATAGCCTATATTTAGGGTTAAGGATTTGCACAAACCAAGAAGCCTAAATATTAAACCATTACCAATACCTCAAACCATGCGGCTTGTTGAGAAAAGGCTATTTCTTTTTGACTTACAAGTACAGAGCTAACATGATTTTTGCCTAATGGGTGATAAAATGGCCAAAGAAGAGATCATAATATAATGTTATGACTTGGGCCAGAAGTAACCATCCCAAAAACCCTACAACCTTACAAGAAAAGGCTGTGATGGACGCGTCAGAACGACGCACTATAAACGGGGTGTTTGTCTAATGAGTGAATTCCCTCCACCGAGTGCCCATGGGATCCCGCCGGGGGAAGGGACACTTGCAGATAAGAGCCTTGATGATTGAGGAGACGGTCTCAGGCAGGCCTGTTCTCGTAGATGAAGGTCTAGACAAGGCTAAGATGGTGGCTGGGACCAGCGGGACATACCATCTTATTCCAGCAGCATCTTCAAATCATCCTCCAGATCTCGCAAAGCAAGATGGCTACCATCTCAAACAACAATCAACGTGCATTTAGCTGGGAAAACTATGCCCTGCTCTGCTCTGTCCACCCCGCCCCAACTATATTTATCTTGATGGCCGATCTGGGTTTTCTCCGAACTACTGAATACACAGGATACAGCTGTCCCTCAAACAAAACCCTCCTCCTCTCTCCCGCGCTAGAGGAAAAGAGATACTGCGCATGATACACAGATGAACTGGAGATCATCGCAGCCATCTGAAACCATAAGAAAGGTTGTATTCCCATTGATAATGTTGCATAAAATAAAACTGATTTGAATGAGGCGGCACATATAAAACCTAGAAAGTACTTTCACACAATCTACAAACTGTGACTCCTTGACAAGCTCTTCTGATTCTTAAAAACCTCCACAAAACACCTGAAATTTGAACCATTTTACATAAGATAATCATGTAAATGCTAGACACCAAAGCAACTAAGAGAATAAGTCTTTTATGGTCAAAGGCACATCAGCAATCACACTGAGTTTACGCAATAAAATTCTCATCCAATGAGACAACTGTGTGCGGTCATACACATTTCCTGTACCCTTTTGGAACCGTATTACCAGATTAAGCCAGTGATGATGCATGAAGTGAGCAAATAAGACTTGCGTTAATATGAGCTACTAACGTAAGCAATCACTGTACATAGACACGTTATGACACGGTACCACACATTTTTCGCTTATTATTATATTATCACCGTGGTCAGAGGTGGAGACCTGCGCAAGTAGAGTTTTAAAGTGCCAAAGGGGGTGCGCCATCCCCAGAAGCACTATCTTCACCATGATGAGGTAAATCCCGGTGGCAAGGGT